CTGCTGCCGCGGCGGTGGGAAGGAGCGCGGCCCGGGCAGGCGGCGTCGGCGTCGGCAGCAGCCATGTTTGTCAAGCTTGTGGCAGCTGCTGCTCCCCTGCCTCGGCTCCGCCGGCCGCCCCGGCCTCTCCCGCGGCCGTGTCCCGCTCTCGAGGCTCCTGCAGCGGCGAAGCCAGTATGTGTGCCGTCAGGAGGGCGAGCTCCGGGGCACACCCGCCTCAGCCAACTTGCTTGAGGCCTGCGCACGGTAGCTGCAAAGGCTCTGGCGCCGGCTGGGCGCGGGGTGCAGCGCTATTGTGACCGCTGCGCCCAGCTTGCCGAGGAGGAGGAGGAGGAGGAGGGGGATCCCTTTTTGTGCAGAAGCTGCCCCCCAAACCTGCAGCCCCTTTTCTTTCATGAGATTTGGCTGCCAGACCTTGGGCGTGGGGAGGAGGAGGGTTCTCGTTTGAGATTTGGGGGTTTTGACTGCCAAAGCGTTTTAATTTTAGTTCAGCCCCAGTGTCCACCAGCCTGCAGTGCAGGGAAGAGGAACGGGCTGTTTCCATGTGGCAGGATTTGCCCAGCTCCGGGAAGATGTAGTTCGCGGAGACTCACTGAGGCCATTTTCCTGTCGTCAGCCTGGAGAACTTTTTCCGTCCTTGGAAGTGCAGCAGAGAGGCCACTAGGCCTTCAGAAGTGGCTGCCATTTTGAAGAGAGGAGTCAGATGGTCTGTTACCTTAGATTAATTGCTGTGTCTTTTGGATTCCAGGTTGATGCGGCCACAGTATGGATCAGACTTGTGAACTATCGAGAAGGAATTGTCTGCTGTCCTTTTCTAATCCAGTGAATTTAGAGGCCCCTGAAGACAAGGACAGCCCTTTCGGTAATGGTCAATCCAATTTTTCTGAGCCACTTAAAGGGTGCACTATGCAGTTACCGACTGCCAGTGGAACATCCCAAAATGCTTATGGACAAGATTCTCCATCTTGTTACATTCCACTGCGGAGACTACAGGATTTGGCCTCCATGATCAATGTAGAGTATTTAAGTGGGTCTGCTGATGGATCAGAATCCTTTCAAGACCCTGCAAAAAGTGATTCAAGAGCTCAGTCGCCAATTGTTTGCACTTCCTTGAGTCCTGGTGGTCCAGCAGCACTTGCTATGAAACAGGATCCCTCTTGTAATAACTCCCCTGAACTCCAGTTAAGAGTAACAGAGAAGACCAAGAATGGCTTTCTGCACTTTGAGAATTTTCCTTGTGTGGACGATGCAGATGTAGATTCTGAAATGGACTCAGAACAGCCAGTCACAGAGGATGAGAGTATAGAGGAGATCTTTGAGGAAACTCAGACCAATGCCACCTGCAATATTGAGCCTAAATCAGAAACCGGTGTAGAGATGGCCATGGGAAGTGAACGAGACAGCACACCGGAGAGTAGACCTGGTGCAGGCAAACGGCCATTCTTGCCATTAGCTCCTGAAACTGAAAACCAGAAAAGTAAACAAAGAAGTGAAGTGGACGGAAGCAATGAAAAAACAGCCCTCCTCCCAACCCCCATTTCACTAGGAGATACAGACATTACCATAGAAGAGCAGTTTAACTCAATAAATTTATCTTTTCAGGATGATCCAGACTCCAGTACCAGTACATTAGGAAACATGCTAGAATTACCTGGAACGTCATCATCATCTACTTCCCAGGAATTGCCATTTGTAAGCAGCTTTTGGTACAACTTAAATATATACTTGAATGTATATATACAGGCCACTTAAAGGGAAGCTTAAACTAATTTGTTTTTGTTGTCAGTTCATAGCTGGAAGCTAACGATGAGCTTTTTTGGGGAAATTTTACCTTGATTTTTAAGCCTTACCTCTGTTGTGCGAGTTGGTTCTTTGTAGCTTATCCAGATTGCCCCACTGAGGTCTGGCCAAGTGTGTGTTTGACTGGGTCAGGAGATCCAGGTGGGTATACGGTTGATTAGCTTTAAAGACACAAACAAACAAAACAACAAAAAACCCAGAAAGCTTTGGTCTGCCGATGCCATCAGATCAGGGGGACCTTGAGTGACTTGGAGTCCTGTTGCTGCATAAAGCATGGGTTGTTTTCTCATGGGCCAGACTTGCTGCAAGTTGAAGTGCATTTTGGGCACAGATTTAACTTGGCTAAGACAGAGAAGCTTTTTTGGCCAGCACTCAAAATTTAAATTAGGTTCATTTTTTCTGAACCACTTGCAATGTTACAGCCTTTGATAACTGCCACCACCAAGTTGGGCTTGATAAGCTTTTCTAGTTTTAAAATTTGAAGTGTGTCTATAGATCTGTCCTGTGTGCAAGCATGTACATGCATATAGAAATGGAGAGGAATACATGAGTCTCTTAGTGTCATGTATTGCTGGAGGGTGATAGGGAGATAAAGTTGTTATCTTTTAGAACTTAGAATTTCCTGACTACTTTATGACCAGCTGACCTCTCTTAGCCCCAGTTTCAGCACTTCTGAAATGAAGAGTACTTGCTTTCTGAAAGATCACTTTTAGCTTTACATATTTGATGCTGGTTTTGTTTCTGCTCTAACTCTGTATTGTCATGTTCACTCATAATGTCACCAAAGAGGAGTCAACAGATGCCTGAAAATACAACATAGATTTCATAAGAATTTTTCTGTAGTATGTAGATGATTGTTTTGAGGGCATTAAAAGTTGATTTAACCCTTCCTCTGTGGATTTCTAAAGTTGCAGAGAGAGAGGGGTGTGTGTGTGTCACCTTTGTTTCTGTTGATTGATATCAGCTATGGTTCATACTCTGGTTTCTTAGCTTAAAAATGGCTGTGGTGGATGTCTTGAATTT